GCTGACTGTATTTCAAATATGTTTGATTTTCTCCTGACCGTATGATTCCTGATGGGAGGTGGTCATTAGAGGCTGATGGCCCCTCGTTACCCCCAGTACACTACATGACGCACCATCAGGCGGAAAGTCGGCCCAGTCAGAAAAAATCTGGCACGTCAAAAAATCGTGCAGTGTTTAAACAACTTCCCAACACGCTGGTTAGAAATCTGGCGTCCTTCAGTGTTTTCTGAGGTCTAACATGTGGATCTTCTCCCTGTGCTGCAGGACGGATACTGGGAGCTGACTGCTGAGCTGGGAGGACTGATCAATCTCAACGTGGATGTGTTTGCTAACGTGTTCCTGAAGAACCGAGGCATCCATTCTCTGGGTGAGCGTTCTTCTCTTTTCTACATAAAACCTGTCTAATACATAATCCGTCCAATCTCTCCCTGATTGTCCTTCTAGCTTTAAGCGTGGATTATTTTAGCTTTCTGTTGATTGGTGTTAGACGGGCCTTCCTCTAACTTCTGCAAAGCCTGATGATTTTCAACTGAAAACCAAGGAACAGAACTTTGGTCTTTTGATGGGTTTTCGTCTTTTTCTGAACAAACTGTATTTCTTAAACTTAGAACATGGAACCTGTCTAAAACTCCCCCCCCCCCAGCGTGTTTTCACATTAATTGTCTGTTAGGATAATTATCGTTGATGACGTGTGAGTTTATTACACCTTAATATTAGCTGCCTGTTGCGTGTCAGAACTGATGTTTATCACAATAGTTTATCTAAATAAGACATTTTCTCTGTCCCGATATACAGTTATAATCTTTATTCTGTACATGGCAAAGATTTGGGAATAAAATGAGGGCGGCGTTCAGCTAAGATCGAAGTGTAATATTTTGATAAGGCTGGAGCCATGGATGTCTAATCATCTGCTACATCTGTATGATGTGATGATGTAGCAGACTGGAGATGCATAAAATGCTTCTCTAACTGTTAATCATCGCCACTTCCTGAAAGGTATGCAGCTGCCTTCTGTAAACTCTAAGCAACTTCTCTGATCTGAGAAAAAGAATCGGATAGAGAAAGCTTCTCGCTGTAGACACAGAGAGCAAATCTTTTTTAGCTCATAACTGTTCCACAGTTTTATTCCTGTTCTCTCCTTCGTATATTTAGTAACGTGCTTCAGTTACCCGTTTAAAGAAAGTCGTAGGTCTCTGATTCACTGCAGATAAGATGCAGGCAGCCAGGCATGAAAAAAATGGTTTGAAGAATCGGGGTTTTTGTTTGCTGCCTTTTTAGGAAGCGATTGAAATACTCTGAACTTCTCAGTCGTTTAGTTTGGTTTTCTGCAGTCTTGTAAATGAACCGTGTGTCTTGAAGGTGTGAAGGCCCACGCTAACATCCTGAAGCTGGTGGCGACTCTGCTGGTTTTGCAGCTGATGAGGGTGGAGAAGCTGGAGGAAGGCAAACTGCTGCAGAGTCTGTTTTGCCTGAAGGAGCCGTCAGAGTCCAGGTCAGAACCATAACAAAGAAAAACTCATGTCTGCCAGCTGTTCCAGTTGTGTTTAGATGTTTCAGTGTGAGGTGCTGCCTGACTCGTTAATCGGTACCTAAACCTTTGGCTCCTGCAGGCCGGAGCGCTGGCAGCAGGTGAAGAAGGCGGTGGACTGGGTTTGCTGGGCCGACCGGGAGTATCCGTGCATCTGCAGCCGGCTGGAGTTCGGTTGGAGCTGGGAGTCGAGCACCCGGCAGCTGCTGGGCTTCGATCGCTTCCCCCCCTTCTCACCTCTCAGCAGTCTGAACCTGCAGAGAACCTCAGCTCTGCTGCAGGTCCACTGATGGAGCACAGGAGGAGATGGAGGAAGAAAAGCTGAAAGGAAGCCTGCATTTAAATAAACCAGTTAGTTAGACTGGTTTCTACTGGGAAAAGAATACAGATGGTGGAAATTATAATTCATCAGATTGGTTTAACATTTTTTTGTTTTTCTGATAAGTATTTTAATCTGCTTTTATGCTTTTCCTTCATCTTAAAATAGAAATATAAGAAGCAACAGTTAAAACGAAGCATCAGAACTAGTTTTAAATGTATTAATCAGTAACTTGTGAAAATCACTTTTAAACTTGTTAAGGTTCTATGGGGTAATTATGCGGCAGATATTCTTACAGAGGTGGTTTGTTTTTATGTTTTATTTGAATCATTTTATGTCTATTAATAAAATTCTGGGATAAATGAACGAACAGCTTCCTGGACCTCATGATGGCAGCTTGTTGTTTTTCTTTTTAACGATTTTATCTCTTCTTGTTATTGATTATTTTTCTCTCTTCCTTGAAATTTATGAACGCATTACAAATTTTTTATATATTTTTTTCCATTGTGGCTCTTAATGTCTCCTTTATTTGATTTTCTGCACTGGGCCTGTATACACCAGCCCTCTTTGGTTTGATATCAGCAGTTTGCTTTGGAAATCAACATCTGATTAAATATCGTATTTTAAGCTGTAATTTACTCGTGTTTTATCTTATCATGAAACATTGTACAATGTTTTGTCTTTCAAAAACAAAACTAGTTTCATATTTTACCAAGAAATGTAGCTTTTATTGTTAAAGTCTACTAATACTTCTAATACTAGTGTAACCGAGCGTTTGGGTCCGTGTTATGAACTTCATCTGCAATAACGGGACAGGAGCCGGGACGGAGTTTTTGGCGGTAACCCCGCTTCCGGTTTTTATTTTCTTCTTCTACTCTCAACAGATAACCAAAACTCACAAGCTCCCCCTGCTGTACACCCAGCGAACTTTCGCTCCCCGGCAACAGGGATGGACACAACTTTAACATACAGACACAGAACAGTCTGTTACTCTAATATTAGGGCCAGGCTAGAGATATTTTTAGTTATTTCAACAACAAAGTCGTAATATTATGAGAATAAAGTAACATTCCGACTTTATTCTTGTATGTTAATACCTGCCAACATGTTTGGCGTGTTTTAGCACCCGGTCAT